ACCTTTCCCTCCATGGGCTGCAGGTCAGAGCTCAAGTACTCAAAGAGAAACTTCATCTGCAGTCACTGCTCGCTATGAAAGTGGCTTCACAAACCACGTGTTCTTCTCTGAAAATCTTGCTTACTTATTGCTAACCTGAAACTGTGGCCATAGACAGGCAAGAAATTATCCCTGGTTGGGTCATCAACATAAACCCAGTCCAAGCAAGGGAGATCCAGCAATTTTGCAGTCAGCCAGTGCAGAATCATTCAGGCAGGATAGAAGTAGCTGTGGTACTGTCAGTACAATGTGGTAAAAAACAAACATGAAGGCATTTCAGCTGAGGAATACAAGCTGATGAAAGGCAAATAAGAAAGCTAGACATAAATACAGGTGAATGGCTACACAGAGGAAGTTTATTTCTGCAAGTATGTCTTCAAGCTGAAAGGTAGTCTCAGAAATATCCAGCAAAACAGAATATCCAGCAACTGGCCATGAAACTATTCCAGGCCAGGTTGGATTGTGCTCTGAGCAGCATGGTCTAGTGAAAGGTTCTCTGCTCATGGCAAGGGGATGGGAACTAGATGAGCTTTAAGGTCTCTTCCAACCCAAACCATGTTATGATTCCATGATCACAGATGCCAGAACTAATAAAGACCTGGACTTGCTGTTTCATGGCTAGCAGTCCAGCTACCAGTGGATTAAATTATTTTCTCTTTGTGGGGTTGTTTTTATTTTTTCAACAAAATTCAGGAACTCTATCAGCTTTTCTGAGGTCAGTGAAATTATAACACATTTGCAATTTAGGTTACTTATTTCTCAAATAAACAGATAAATGAGACTACCATAAAGCCCAAATGCATCTAAAGAAAGTGGCAGCTCTCCAGGTAAAAAGAATCAGCCATCTGCTCTAAAAAATAAAAGCAAAAATCTAATAAAACCCAGTGACACATCACTTCACTCATTGAGAGAAACTTGGAACAGTAAGGCTGAAATCAGCTCCATGAAACTGGAGGAGTCACACAACAGAGAGGTTGCAACTAACCTGATGGCATTCACTACATGGAGACTCAACACATCTTTAAGTCTTAATTCTTACTACCACTACTTCTGTTACTATTATTAATCCTTTTTAGGTCTGCTTACAACTTTGAGATGGTCTTTAGTTGATGAACCTTTTGGGGTTTGAGCACTACTACACAAAGGAGGAGATAAGACTCAACTCAAAACCTTTCTGGTTTATTTCTAGGAGTGATTCTTTTGTGCAATGACTTTTGGAAGAGTCATTTTGTCACCTTTGGAATGAAGGTATTTAAGAGTCCGGACATTAATGAGGAAAACAACAACTGACTTTACTGAAAGAGTTTAGTTCAACTATATGAACAAACTGTTTTCAAGCTAGAAGATCTGATTGGAGCTGGTTTGTGCTGGAATGTCACCCACACAAATCTTGTGAGGGAACATTAAGTGACAATACACTTATGATGAAGCTTATGTTGGAGCAAAATCTGTGTGGCTGGGAAAAAACCCAATCGCTCAAAGGAGGAAGCATTTACATCCCAGTTTCTAAATTAGCTATTACTTAATTAAATATAAAAATTTGATGTGTTCTTTTGCAAACATCCTCACACAATCTATCTTGTCAACGTATTGGTTTTCTTCATTCCTTTCCCCTTTTGTTTAAGCTCTTACCTCAGGCCTTGTTCCAGGACAGGGTGTTAGTTCTTAAGACTGCCATCTAAAGTCTAATAATTGAATTCTTGAGGCTATTGTAGACCAATTGGCAATTTAAATTTAGGACTTTGCATTTTAAAAATAAATTAAATGTTTATATATACAGTAGACTCTCAACATCCCTGGGGCACCTGAGCTAGTCCTTCCTCCTCCAGAACCCATTCCAGTTTCCTTCTGCTGGCTGAAATTAATGATAGTGAATGTATAAAGAAGCAAAAAAAATTTTAAAATTACAATAAAAAATAATTTTGCTAATCCACTTCAAATGCCTTCCTCTCTTGCACTGTCATTTTTCCTCGCAACAATGCAGGTCTTAAACACATGCAGTAGAAAATACAGGATCACAGCATGGGAGATGTTGGGATCCTGTATTTAATCTTCAAAATCAAGGTTAAGAAATAGGAATTTTCTCTGGAATACACATATCATAAAGACAGAGATGTTCATCCCTAGAGTGTGATCTTTCTGCTCTTAGGAAAGTCCTTGTTCCTGCTGCTCAATGGCTACACCAGCAGTGCTGTGGCTCCTGGGGCCCCCTCAGGCTCCCCTCATGCCAAACAAAGGAACGCTCATTTTCTGCCTGTAGAAACAGTAGTGCTGGGGCATGGAGACCCTGGATACTATGAGCTTCTTAGAGCTGTGCTGCTTTAAGGAGGATTTTGCTGTTTGAGAAGGAAGAGTAAGGGGTGGGTGGGATCCTGCGCTCCTGGGTCGCCCACTATCACTCAGAAATGCTACAGAAAAATATGAAAGAATGAATCATAAATAAATAAATAAATAAAAACATATAAATAGATAAATAAACCCACCAGCAGCCCAAAAAATAGAGGGTGCAATTAAAATCATTGCTCTTTACCAATGGTAAAGAATTTCTCTCCTTACCCACGTTACTGTTTTTCTCCTAAGAAGCGAGGTCAATGAAGAGGTTTGCCATGCAGGGAGAAAAATAAACAAACAGAAAAAATAAAGATGAACTATTAGAACTACATTGACACCTTTGATAAAATATTACAAAATGTGGTAAGATGCCAGCAGTGCTGACTGCTGATGTGCAATCTGCCCATCAGGGTGACCGGTGTGTTTGATTTACACATTTCTAAGTATGATATACTAACTATTTCAAGCTATTAAATGTCCTTAATATCTTTTTTTTCTGCTCAGATGAGTTCTATGTTTTTAACCTCTCTCTCAAATATTTGCTGCTTGATCTCCATTGAACTGTGATACTTCATTTTGCATTAGATTGTAATGCCAAAGCTGTGTTCAGCTGTGCAGTGGAAGAGCTCCCACAGAACCCTACTGGGACTCTCACAATGGTGAGTGATGAGCTAGGAGTGGGCTTCAGTCGACTGGTATTTATCTGTGCTGTATATTTATGGCTCTGAATTCAACTAGCAATCACTTTTTAAAAATTAGTACAACATCTTTAATTAGAGGACAAGAGCAACAAAGAACCTATAATTACCAAAAAAAAAAAAAAAAAAAAGTGGTTGATGCAGTGAGTAATGTCTTTGTCATCACTCTGCTCTTGGGTTAGGTCACTCCTCAGTCAGCTTCAAGGACAATCACTACTAATTAACAAAGCTTTTAAACTCTTCCAAGTGGCCCAGACCACTGAGGTACTGTAAGAATACTCAGATACACAGCTCTTTAAGTTGTCTGTCCTTTATGTTGACTTCTTCCAAAACAGAAGAAAGACAAAGAAACAAATACAAAGAAGAAACTTCCTTCAATGCAATGAAACCAAAAGTATTGTAGTTGCATTTTTGTGCCCTCCCCATGGCCATCCAAGCCTTTCTCACCATGCTCCTGATAATTTGGCACATGTATCCATACAAGAAAAAGACAAAGACTACTTTGGCTGTGCAGGGCAACCATCTCCCTTCTGTACTTTAATGAGCAGAATTAGGGCTGGGCACCAAAACTAGAGGTTTGAGTTGGGTTAAATCTATCTGGTGCCATCCATCTGGAGTTAGTTAAGTGGCAGCAGCAGTGTGTTTTGCATTGGAGCTCTGTATTTTGGGCTGAAAAAGGGTTGAAAGAGTAAACAAAGCTAATGCCTTGCATCTGAGGTTAGATTTTTTGTTGTGGTACATGCTAGTAGAAACTTTTTTGTATAGACAAACATGATTTCTTTGAAGAAGCAGAGAACTCCACCACCAGTTTCTCCTATAACTGTAAGGACGTGCAGTATCACCGATAACCTCGCTAGACCCGAAGGGATGGTATCACTGCTGCTCTTTGATATGCAGATACTGGGAGCTGCTATTCTTATCCTGCTGGTTTTGCATTTAGCCTATGGAAAAAACAAACAGGTTCTCCTGTGTTCTCCCTGTGCCCATCCCTCTTGCCTGCCCAGGTTGCACAACTGCAGTGGACGGGCCGTGGTGCGGGAGGAGCAGGTCCTGCTGCTGACCACAGGCTGCTGGTGTGACCAAGCTGCTGACCATCAGCTCCTGCCTCAGAGCATCACACACCACCCAAGCCCCGTTCATTCCAGGGACTTCTCAAAAATACTCTAAACCCCTTTTAATTTAAGCCATAATTGAGAGCTGGCTTTGGCAAAGAGCAATTTCACAGGCGTCAAGAGTTTAATCGCAGCCACGCGAACGAGCTTCCCTTGAGTCACAGCTGCCTAGTGCCACCAAGGAGCATCCCCTGAGTCACACCAGCCCAGCCTCCTGCTCCTTTCCACAGGAGCAGAAAAAACCCACACACACCTGGAGAAAGACAAGTCCTTAAAAATAAATAAACAGCTTGTCTTTGGGTGGGAGTCAGGTTCTTCCCTCAGGTAACTCAGGACATGATGAGAGGATGTGGTTGTAAGCTGTGCCAGGGGAGGTTTAGGTTGGACAGCAGGAAGAATTTATTCTTGCAAGGAATTATTAGACACTGGAATGGCAGCCCAGGGAGGTGGTGGAGTCACCGTTCCTGGAGCTGTGTGAGTGTAAGATTGATCTCAATATAATATTTAAGGAAAGACAGGACATGGCGCTCAGTGCCATGATCTGCTTGGCATGGTGGTGTTCAGTCACAAGTTGCACTCGATGACTCCAGAGCTCTTTTCCAACGTCTTTGACTCTGTGATTCTCCCGGCGGTGTCCAAGGAATCCCAAACCGCCTACGAAGGTCGGGCGGGTGGGCAGCCGTGACTCGAGCCGGAGGCGGGACTCGAACCCATGACTCCGCAGCCCTCAGGCTCCTCCCCGCGCTCCCGGGGGGCCGAGCCGCGCAGGCGCAGAGGGCGCGGCCGGGCGGGGGCGCTGCGGGGCGGCGGCGGGCGCGGGGCCGCGGGGCCGCCATGGGTGACGCGTTCGGCGGGGCGGAGTCGGGCACGCAGGTGAGGCGCGGCCCCCCCCCCGCTCCCCGCTCCCCGCAGCCCCGGGCCCGGGCACACGGGCGGGGAGAGCCGGGCGAGGCTGTAGCCAGGGGAAAAGGGGAGCTCTGAGCCTCCTCCCCTCACCGCCACGGGCGGGCGCGGGGGAGCCCCCGCGGGGCCTCCTGAGGGGGCGGTGCGTGAGGGAGGGAGGGAGTTCCGCCCCCGAGAGGCCGCGGGGGCTTCCTGGTGGATTTCCCGGTGGATTTCCCTCGGATCCGGGAGGGATCGGGGTTCCCTGGGGCCGTGTTCTGCCTTTGTGTCGGGATCCGGGTGGATTTCTGCTGTGGGCGCTTCTTGGTTCGGGTGTTTCGACTATTCTTTTTTAAATATTCCCTTCGCGCTCCCCTCCCAGGCATTGGAGGGGATGCCTACGGGAGAAGACCTGTAAGGAAGGTTTCCTTTAAAGGTTCGGACTTGATGGTCTTAAAGGTCTCTTCCAACTTTATGATTCTGTAAATAAACATTTTGTAAGGTGGAATTACTTTCCTCCTCTTTAGGAGAAAAGAGGTTTGAGTTTTGGGATTTTGTGTTGTTTTATTAGGTTTTTTCCCATCTCTCGTTTTTATTTGTTAGAAACTTCCACTTTCGATCAGCAACTTAATTGCTTGGAGATTTGTGTGTAACTATACCGGAACATGCTGAATAGTTCACATAAAACAGAAAAGTGCGATAATATTTATTGCTAAAGCTCTGTGTGGTTTTTAGTGGGACTTGGGCTTTTAAGCCCTTTTGACACTTAAAAAAAAATTAGTATCAGATGTCCACTATTGGCAAATAGATGTGAATTAAGGACATGAGGTGTGCTCTTTGTCCAAGGGATAAATGTATTTGTTTGTCCACATGAGTGGTGCTGACAGAATGCTCATGGCATCAACTGCCTGCAATGGATGGATGGATGGATATCCAACCTGGAGCAAGGGAGGAGTTGAAGACTGACAGGTTAAGAAAAGTCAATGCATGAATACAGAATGTCCAGACAAAAAATGGTAAAAGCACTTGAAACAGAAAACACTTAATTTAAACCAATACTTCTTTAAATAGTCTCATGCATAAAGCCAGATTTTACTGAGTTATACTGAGACTGCAGTATTGTGCTTTTTTTATTGAATATAATTAATACAACAAATTAGAACTTCTTGCAAAACACCTTTGGTTTATCACAGTAAAAGTAATGATAAATGGCTTGCATATGTCTTCATGCCCAAAGTTTACAAAAACTCAATCAGAGTGGTTATAGTGGTTGAGAATTAAATTTTGTCTAGTACTGGAGATAGGTTTGTATGTGTAAATAGCCCGTAGGTTAGCTCACAGCCTCTAGCAGAGCTGGAGTATTTAATTTGAATTTCTTTAACATTTTAATGAAGTAATCTCTCATTCCTGACAAGACCTACGTGTGTGCTTGCATTGATGCACAGCTCTGTTGGAACCAACAGAGTACAAGCATGTCCTGCATTAGTCAGTGGGACTGTCCACATGCATATTTGTTTATTAAAAGGAAAAAAAATTATAAAAGGTGTAGCTGAAATATTTGTGTCCCATCAGCTTCGTCATTATTGACACTTATCCCAGCTGCTGCTGAACTTTTGCTGTACAGCTTATTCTCTACGTGTAACTGCACATCTGTGCTGTTCCTTGCTGGCATAATTGCATTTTCAAATACCTAAGAATGAGGAGCTACCACTAGCAGGTTGCTGAAGGGTGGTGTTTTGTGTAAAAAAAGATGAAGAAAGGCTTATGGAGGAAGAAATGAGCACCTACACTTTGATTATGGAATCACAACTCTCTAATAGGGGATTTGAAATTGACTTGGGAATTTTGTCTAAGCTCTTCCCGCTCCAAGGTTCTCTCCAGGGATGCTGTCTGTCCTTCTGTACATTGTGTGTGACAAAGCTTGGGGCACCTGACACCCACCCTCAGATCACCCTTTACATGCTGGGGATTTCTCCCCCCTCATCTTCCAGAAGAACAGGAGGGGAGGCAGAATGGGAAAGGCTGCCCTGGAGCAGAGCCAAGGCTGGATTGGGAGCAGCCTGTGCTGTCCCTGTGTGACGTGGGCAGAGGTGAGGGGTGCCTGTGTGGTGTCTCAGCTGTGCTCCCATCACTTGTGCTGCACTGTGGACAAACCTTTGTGAGAGCTGAAGGAAAATTGTTGCCTGTTTGTGCCGGGAACCCCGTGGCTCCCAGCGTGGCGCTAATGAGGCAAGTGCCTTTGGAGATTGTGCTTCAGAACTCGGAAGTAAATACAAGCTGGATAAAAACACAGGTGTGCCATCATCAGCAAATTACCATAAATTACCTTCATGAGCAGTGCTCAGAGAAAGCACCTGTACTTATTTAAAATTAATCCATAAACTTGTCATTTAAATAACGACAGATTCATATTTAAACCAGAGTGATCAATTTACTCTCTCTCAAAGAGTTGATAGTCTAAGAGGACACAGGGGCTCACTGTTCCAGAAAAAATAAACTGCACAGGATATATTTGTTAATGTACAAATTAATTTAGGAGCAGGAGGCTGCAGCAATGTGTTTGGGCCAGCAGCAGTTGTGACTGCTGGCCCCAGCAGTGCCCACCACTGAGCCCCTGTTATCCCTGTGTGCTGCAGCAGTGCTTCCTCTGTGAGAAGTGCAGAGCATCAGAAAGCAGCAGCCTGTGGTGGTTTTCCTCTTTCCCTCAACTTCCACTGCTGACAAAGGGGTGAGGAATTCCTGGTTCTTCTCCCCAGTGGGTGCAGCCTCTCCCTGCTGGTGCCCAGGCCCTGGCAGCAGGAGAGCTGCACATGCAGGGCCTGCCAAGGCCCTCTTGGTAGTTGAGAGCTGCTGGTTTATGTGCCCCAAGTTAATTCCTGTATTCTCGTGTACGTGTGTCCATCTGGATGTTTGCTTTGTCCAGATCATGGAATCCTGCTGGTTCCCAGGAGTTCACTGTGTGTTTAGTGCTGCACAAATGTGTGAAGTGTAATGGGAGGATCTGCTGATCCAGAGCAAGGTCAATTTGAGTGGTTTTTTGGCCCTTCAGAGGATGAGTCAGAAAACTCTCCTGGATAGGTGTGAAGAGGCCAAGGCAAACACATTGACATTTTGTTAATGGAGGGGACTCTTAAAATGTCAATGAAAATGTCACACTTACATTCCCATTGTGACCACTTGAAGCAAATTCAGGACCATTTAATTTTTTACTCTTAAAGGCAAACACACACACACAACTGCTTAAAAAACTTTAAAGATCATTCAGAGCAAGTGTTGCTCAGGGATATGACAAGGAGGAAAGCAAGAGAAGGCAGCAGTTGTTTGAAGGTGTGTGCTCACTGCTCTTTTGGTCTTGAGGATGGGATAAAAGTTAACAGGATTTGTTTTGTTCAGATCTCTAAATGACACCTGGGCGCCTTGTAGAATGTAGTATTTGGCGCCAGGGTAGGTGCTCTGGTGACACTGAGCATCCCAATAATGTCCTTTCCCATGTATGGGAATACATGTAGGGAATAACAGCTCTGGTACCAGGAAAAATGTTCATTCTTGCTTCACACAGTGTGCCAGAACTAATAACAACACAGGTTTTGTGAATACCTGTCTGCTTGCTATGCAAATACCTCTCAGTTTAAGAAACTGTCCATGAAGTTTGAAGTAATTAGTTTTACAATGGGCTTATTTTATGAGGGGCTTTGGAGAACTTGCTTAACAAATTCAAGCTTGCTTTAGAAAGGTTCTTGCAGAGCCACTGGTGACTAATTACTTTTGAACATTCTTAATCCATACTCTGTTTGAACAAGTAACTATGATATAATAGGATTGTAGCCCAGAGGAGTCCTGTGTAACGTCTCAGGTGAAATGCACATGGTTTTACTTAGAAATGCTCAGAGAGGCTGGCTCGGGGGATTGTTGATGGGTAAGGTTTCAGCTCTCAGCCAGTAATTTTTTTGGAGGTTTGGAGGGTTTTTTTGGTCGTTACAAATGATGTTCTTTCCCTTTGTTCTTTGGAATGGCAGCACTGCTGTGGGCTGGAGGTGATCCCTCTCACTAATGTCCCTGAGCAGCCTTTGCTTTTTAAACTTGATTTCTCCTCATATCTCCAGTCCTCACTGCCACTGAATCTGTGTGCTCGTTGTTTGTAAAGCTGGGACCTTCTGTTGCTGTAGTCCAGACTATGCACTTCCATATGTATTTATAAAAACACTTTTAAAATCAGGCTAATCTTTCAATAGGACTGTCATGGAAAACTGTCAATTCTTAAAATCCTTTACATTTGTGTCCTGAGGTTCATTATTTAAAGTTAACAGTGTGGCTCTTTGTCTTGTCTTTAAAAGCTGCGTGCACGACTCGAGGGCAGAAGTTCTCTGAAGAATCTCGAGCCTTGTCTGTTTGCTGAGGAAGGATCTCCTGTTCATGGTAAAAATGTCTCTTCATCCCATTTAGGGAAAAATGTTCATGTAGAAGTATTCTACATTTCTATATTTCTGTCTCTCTCTATTTCTATCAATAGAGATAAGCATACAAGTAAATTATTTTGCCCTAGATCAGAATTCTAATTTTTGATATGGTTCAATGCAATTTAGATAAAATGGAATAATGCAAAGTCAACCTTCCAAACATTATTAAATAGGCCTCAAAATCTATTTTATGCATATCAAGACACAGGTGTAGGTGAGTAAATACCAAGCACATTGGTCAGTGTCAGTAGTTTCCAGCAATTTGTTCTAGAGTCTGTCATTAAACCTCTTTGTTTGTTTTTTTTAATCAGTGGTCTAGACAAGCACCAGAAAGTCATAACTGCAGAAATTTGCAAAGAACATGAGGTTCAGTAAATAGCAGTGATACAGAGTTGTCTGGGTAAATTAGGATAAGGAGCATGAGCAAACAAAGCCAGCTCATCATGCCATTCAGTCTTGACCTGAACAATCCTAAGTATGCTTAGAATAGAAGTTCATAAACAATTCCATTATGGCCATAGGTACTAATTAGTTTGAATGAGTTCACAATGCAGGATCAACATGGCTCATGGAGACCTTCAGTGAATGAATGAGAATTTCAGATTGGAGAACTGGGCTAACCTTTCAATGACACCAGTACAAGAAAATTTAAGATCAAGGTTGGATATTTTAATGAAAGAAATTAGTGAACTAAACAGAAAATAACACACTATTCAGGAAGTCAGACTGATTTTCCAGATTGTGTGAAATGTCATGAATTTCACTATGGAAGAGACAACTCTGATTACACAGGGCTAAAAATATATATGAAAAAAGGCATCTGAGTGGCAAACAGTGAGGATCAGTGGTGAGGTACTACTGTTGTGGAATTTATGTGTGAGTGAGTGGATTCATAGGGCAAATATGTGGCTTCAGTGGTTAGCAGCACACTTATCTGCAGTTTGAATTCCCACAAATATGGAATGTTCAGAATAAAGAGCAGAAAAGGCAATAAAAAGAATCAGGATAATTGGATGAGAGATGATGCTTAGTCTTCAAACACAGTCACTGTGAGAGTCTTTGAGTGTTGTTTTGCAGCACTAGAAAACACATGTGGGCTTTAGCAGTACATGATTCCTGCCCTGAAAGTTTCCAGTGTGACATAACAATGATAAAGGGTGGAGAAATACTGCTAAGCCAGTGCAAGTAGAGCACAAGAATATTTAAATTCTCTCATTTCTGAATTCTCTCATTTTCTGCTGTGTTACTCACAAGAAGAATTAAGGGCCAGGAATGAAATTAGTGTATGCTTCACAAGACTCTCAAATTCCTATTTTTTTTTAGAAAATGAGATATTACTGTATTTTTTTCAAAACATAAATATTAAACAATCTTTTAGTCTGGATGTTTGGTATTTTTTAGTCAACTTTACACACAACAAACAAATGTTTGAGACTGAACTGGCTATGTACTGGTCAAACAGATTTTAAGATGTTTTCTTGGGGATCACGAACTGCCCTTGCTGCAGTCCATAGTGTTAGATAGTTTCATGTCAAATTATCTTCTTTGCTCTTAAAGCTTTATAGGTTGTTCATGTCTGTCTGAAGACTTTTCCAGAACCTCAGTTCTAACATGGCTGGAAACCTTCTAAAATGCATCACTGGTTTCTCTGTGCCAACAGTCATTGAGCTTTTGAAGCACTTGCATTTTTCTTCTGCTTCCAACAAATGGTATCAGTTATTACCCATACTGGTCATGCTTTTTGGCTGACATTAATGAAGCTGCCTAACATATTAGCACAGCCCTTTAGCTGTATATATATAAATGGACTTCACCTTTTATTGCATTTTTGCTTTGTCTTTTAATACCACAGTATTCATGTGAGGCCATGTGTTATTTTGATGTGTGTTCACATTATTCAGTCTTAAATCCCTGTTGAAGGCTTACCTCTCCATTTGTCATGGACTTGACTTTCAGTGTGTCACTGTGGAATTCTGTAATAGGTTGCCCATGAAGTCAATACTGAACAGCTCTTCATCTCAAATGCTGTGATTAAAGCAATGCAAAGATGTAAATTATTCTTTTTTTCAAACAAATACATGAAGTTTCAATAAACTATCCAAAGGTTACATTTTAGTTAAGTGTTCATAACTTGCATGTCAGGGTACTGTAAAATAGGGACAGGTAATGTAGGTATTAATGTGATACTCTAACCACTGCTTCTAATTATGATGGACTTGCATATTTAAGAGCACATAAGTACATTAATTACATACCATTTAAGCTCTTCTGGAATGGAACAAAAGTGACACAAGCATTAAATAATCTTCCACTATTGTCAGTCATATTTCCCCTGTGCCACTGGCATGAAGGTGTGGGTGTCAGTTTAAGGCTCTGATGTTCACCAATTGCATGACACCCAACATTAACTTGGAATAAATATTAGGCCTTTCTACTTCACTTATAAATGGTATAAATAATAGTGACAGCTTCTGCATAGTATTGTAAATGACCAGCCCAGGAACTTCAAGGTAGCCTAGAATGTGAAACACACAAAGTCATTGCTGATTGTTCCAGCAGCCTGTTGGTATCTGCAGTGTCAGAAAATAGTTTAACCAGCATTTTCAGGTGGATTGATTACAGACAAAAATAAAGCTCTTCTCATTCAAGATGTAACACCAAACTGATGGCCAGGACTGAACACAGTGTTTCAGTTAAAATATATAAATCTTACATAAATATTTACATTTCTTCAGCATCATTTAGTTTAACCTGCATGCCCATTCATAGGAGTGGGCTATTATTCTCTTTAGTCTGCCCATAATGAGCCAGCTCTGGCTGCCCTGAACCAAGCAATGTGTTCAGGGACTCCTTAAAACCTAACTCTTGAATTCACTAGTGCTGAATTTCATGTGAAATCACTCTACTCATCCGTCTCCATCTGTTAAATCTTCACAAACTTGAGTTTTTATTAACCCAATTAGTTTGTCTTCTGCATGTTTTGCCAAGCTAATGGAACATTCATCTACTGATATGTTTAATGTCTGCCAACACCAATTCTAATAGAAAAAATTCCCATTAAGTTTCTTCCATGTTAAAGTGCTGTTCCTGCTCTCCCTCTCAGCCTGTTCTCATTCTGTTACAGCACCTTTTTACTAATCCTCCTTTCCAAGTTGTTTTGACATTAATGGATGATGCTGGTCGTGATCACTGTTTCTTCTGTGACCTACTGTCAGGCTTCTTGAAAACGTTGCTGGCCTCACTTCCTCCTTTGCTGTGTCATGGCTTGTCCTCTCTGATCCAGAGAAATGAATTTCCCCCCTTATCTTACTGTAACAGCCTGGTTGCTAATTCAATGAAACCCAGCATTTATAGATGCTGCTATAAATGGCTCCTGTTTTGCACCCGTTCTCCTTGTGGGCAGCTCTTGGATAATCAGGAAGGCACAGAAATCCCCAGTTCTCTTGAGGTTTTCTTGCAGTCCAAGCTGTTTCTGTTTGCAGAGTAACTCAAGTGTCCTGGTCCAACTACAAGGCAGCTGTGGATCTCTTTCAGCAGTGTTGAACAAGCTTTGAGGGGTGCTTGGCTGTCTTGCTGTTCACATTTATAAACCACCACCACAAAAGCCTCTGAGAATGATTGTCATTCAACTTAGAATTTTTACTTAAATAAGTTTTATTACTTCTGCCAATAAAAAAACCAACTCATCCAGTGTCATTCTGCAGCACACAGACACCCTGCTAGAATGTCTTCAAATGGAAAAAGTGAAGCATTTATTTCCCAGAAGAATTTTTGAATCCAGCAGGTTATATTTTGCTGTAAAGGCAGGTGAAGCAGTATTGCCTGTTGGCCCCTCAGTTACTGCTCTGGATTGAGAAATGCCAGCCAGGGTGGCAGAAGTTTTGTGCCACAGCCAGTGGCAAAAGATACACTTTGTTCCTTATCAAGAGCTGCCTTACACAATTGTTCTAAAATACTGCAAGAGACAAAATAGGGGGGAATGACCTAGCCAGCACTTTTAGGAGGAGCTCTTGCAAGCTGGTATCTCACCCTGCCAGGGTGTGGTTGTGTCTCTGGCACAGGCTGTGTGACAGCAGAGCCACTGCCTGCAAGTGACAGCGTCGGGCACCATGACCTCTGCACAGGAAGAGAAAATGCAAACTTATGTCCCAGGATGTGTAGTTATCTTTCATCTCAGAAGTGAGGGAGCCATTCAGAACAGCTTAATAAGGGCTTGGGAGACAACCAAGCTTTTTAATAGATTTCAAAGGGTCAGAAATTCATATAAATGATATTTCTGAGTGTCACTGAAATGGATAGACTTGTCACATCAGGTGTAAATTGCTTTTAACACTTGCAAAGGGGGAAGAGCTTGATTTCTTCTCTACCATCCTGCTCCCCTGATCCCAAACTGCATCTTGATGTTGTAGGCACTTGTGAATGAGGACATCCTCTGGAAGTTGAGCAGTGACTTGAAAAACCCTGTTAACTCAGGCAGGCACAAACATGTTGAAGGAAAGTTGCAGTTAATTCTCTACTCTCACATCCCCCTATGGAAAGCTGTTAGGCCATTTGCACTTGCCCAGGCCGTGGAAATCTCTCACCTTCCTGCAATTACAGTGGTGTGATTCTTCTTACTGCATGTGGTTACCCTTCTGCCTATAAAATCCAAAATGTCATAAAAAAATAATCCAGTTCCCAAAATTAGAAATTTATAAAGAGCAGCTAATCAATTAACTTCTTCTAGGGTCTTGCTCTGATACAAGACATCAGAAGACTTTGGAAAAGGCTTTAGAGTATCTTGCATTCACATCCAACAAAAGAACTGGTTTCCTAATGAAGTGTAATGCTGTTTTTAATTAACATTTTAAATTTTTATGGTATGTATTTTATGACCCACATGGATGAGGTAATTAGGCTGAATCCTTTTATGATCATAGATCCTTTGCTTCAAACAGAGGCCTTGCCTGGAGTTGAAGGAATCCCTGAGTCTCCCTTGTCAAAAGAAGCAGTTTCACATTATTATCACCACAGGAGAATATAAGTGCTAAATAAACTTACTGGTGATTTCTTCACCAGACACAGATTCCTGTAGGAATCTTGTGACATAAAGCATTTGATATCTATGTGTAATGACATCTAATATGTCATTTTTTTTGTTTTGTCCTCTGATTTGTTATTTCTTAATTGTGTGTGCATAGTGTAGATGGTTTCTTAGCCACTTTTGTGTAGCAGCTTCCTCTTCTGCTTTAATCTGCCTGTAATGATATAGATGAAATCCAGTTGCCAACCTTTTCTGGATGGAAGTCTCCTAGATGGTGCTGGCAGAGGCTTTCAGTCTTTGTTCACAGTTGATTAACTTCACTTTAGAGGCCTTTCTTGAAAACTGAAATATCTGTTGGGTGATACTGACCAGGACTTAAACCATTTTATGAATGTCGATTAAAATGCATTTCCCAATTTGTGGAATAGTGAATATTGGTTCAGAAAACACTGAGAACCAACTCTGGGCTAGAAATGCTCTTACCTGACAACGTGCTGCTTTGTTTTTGAACAGGAGATGTTATTGAATTCCATGGCCCAGAAGGGACAGGCAAAACAGAAATGCTTTATCACCTGCTGGCCCGCTGCATCACTGCCAAGGCACAGGGAGGGCTGGAAGTGGAAGTGATGTTTGTTGACACCGATTACCACTTCGATATGCTCCGCCTGGTCACCATTCTTGAGAACAGGCTGGCACAGGGGACAGAAGAAATGATAAAGCAGTGCCTGGGAAGGCTCTTCCTTGTCAGCTGCAGTAGCAGCACTCAGTTACTGCTGACTCTCTACTCTCTAGAAAACCTGTTCTGTGCTCACCCCTCGCTCTGTGTTTTGATTTTAGACAGTTTATCAGCTTTTTATTGGATAGACAGAAGCAATGGAGGGGAGAGTCTTACCTTGCAGGAGATGAACCTGAAGAAATGTGCTAACTTCCTTGAAAAGCTTGTGACACAGCACCACTTGATCCTCTTTGCAACAACACAGACACTAATGCAGAAATCTGCAAACTCTGCAGAAGGCTTTTTACCTTCAAAACTTCCACATGAAACTGATACAGACTACAGACCATATCTCTGTAAGTCATGGCAGCAAATGGTAACACACAGGATGTTTTTCTCTAAGCAGTGTAATTCTGGCAACAGCAAAGGTTTTACTGTAGTTTCTTGCCACCTCAAAAGAAACCAGATAGTAAAACGTTCATTTAGTGTTGCAGAATGTGGAGTTCAGTTTTAACTTCAGTTTATTTTGTAAACATTTATCAAATCTTGGTGCTTCATGCCTGATTAGGTCTAAGTACCTTCTCATAACTTTTCAACTACCTGGTTGTTGCTGGGTGATTAATAATTGTTGTCACCATTTTCTTGAAATTCAGTGAAGGGCAGGGAAAGGTAATTTTTTTTAATTACTTCAGCAATTCCATCCAAACTATAGAAGACTGTTGACATTACTTGTTTGTGCTTAATCAAGAAAATAGTAACAAGACACATTAAATCCTGGTATCCTTCAGCAGTCTAACCAATGTGGCCAAATGCCTGTTGGAATTTCTGGGTCTTACTCCTCTTCCAAGCTGCAGAAGTAGGAGCCTACTTGTCTGTGGCAGAGGTTGCAAAGAGGCCAAAGCTCACACTTTATAAACATTGGCCTTGGTTTATTCCCTGCAGCTTTGGGCATAAGAAATGCCAGTTTTGCCTGAAGAAGAGGATTCATTTTCAGTGTGTTAAATAGTGGTGATCCTGACTGTGCTGCTTCTCCTGGCTCTCAGCCTCTCCATTTACATTAGTGGGTGCTCAGGGGAGCAGGGATTGCAGGTGTTCTGATGCTTAGAAATGTCTGGCATTGAAGAATCTTCAGCTATTAATGAAATAGAGGCCTGGTTTCCATAACTGAAGGAAAAGTAAAGACCCAGCTCTCGGTACTTTTGTGAGCTCTGGGTGAGCTTGTGCTGCATACAACAAAAAGTTTTTGGAAATACTTAAGTGCAAGTTACAGGTTATTTTGGGAGTGGAGGTTGTTTTTTTGTTGTTTTTCATTTTTTAAAATGATGCACAGACTTTTTTCTCTGCCTCTCCTCATCATGCCTTCCCTCTTCTTTCCCTTCCCCAGTCTCTCTAAGAAATCCAGGAATGCCAGGCCTCTGGTCTTTACCAATATGCATTTGCCACATGTAGAACATTTGTGTGCAGGATTTGGCATGTAGCATGTTGCAATTCTGGCAAAGAACATTCAGAACTTACAAGAAATGCCCTACAGTTCTGGCAAAGAACAGCACATTATTTATGAACCTAGAGTGCCCTTTGAAAGCTTCAAAGTACTTTACAAGAAAGAAAATTGCACACAGTACATTATTTAATACAAAAACTTACATTAGCTTACAAATTCAAATTACTCAAACAAGGGGGAAATACTTCTCACAGCGATGTTTGTTCAGTCATGTTGCACAGCACATTTTATAGTTTAGATTGAAGAGATTATTAACAAAAATGCATATTAATAAGAAGTATCTAGCTCAGTATCTTTTTGAGGAAGATGCCTAAAAAACTCTGTTGTGAGACACTTACCTTTGAATTTCCTGACTTCTGAAGCAGCTTTTTCAAGCTGAATGTATGTCTGGAATCCCAGCTTTGTATGGTTCAGTTACCCTCTTGGGTTCCACTGTGTCTGTTCACAATGAGTTCAGTTTAATTATTCTTTCTGTGGGAAAAATTCCTTTTTTCCCTTCTCATTTTAAACCTTCCATCTGATCACTTCTTCACACCATCAGTTCTTTTACTCTGACACATCAGCAAACTTTGCCTTTTCAACATCTCCCCAGAGCTGATGATTTTATAGAATGTCATTTCATTTCTGCCTTCTCATCCATCAGCACCAATATGTATTTTATTTCAAAACCTGCATAGGTACACAAATACATGAAAAATTATATAAAATAGTGCATTCAGCCAAGTTAGATAATTTACCATGTGTAGACACTTCCATTATGAATTATGATAAAGGGCATTATTGAATTTTTTTTATAAAAAAGAATGGGAAATTTCAAGTAGAACTAGAGAACTTTAAAATCTGAAAATTTTAGGACTATGTAATTTCTACTAGAAAAGAATAAAAAAAATTTATTCTTTTCTTTCTTTCTTTCAATCAAAAACATTGATTCTTTCTCCCCTTGCCACTGGAGAATGCAACTCCACTGATGATTAACTTCTTCTTAAAATCATACTTGCTAAAGAATATGCTTGAGAAAAAAAACAATGGATATGTTCTGGCATTCCCAACTGGAAAAAAAAAGCTTTTATATTCTTCACAATGTAGTTTGTATTTTGCATTGTACTATGAAAGAAATGCCTAAATTGAAATGAAGCCAAAGTTCTAGTTGATCAAAAAGAGCACCTCAGGAAATTTTGAAATTTCCCAGTTTTATTTTTACTTTGAATGCAGACAGATTTTTTTTAATTCTCTGGTAATTGTAATATTCATGCTCTGCACATTTGTTTTAGCTGTATAGCAAGCCTGGATTTCTGAGGTGCTGAGCATTATCCCTGTAATGCTGCAGAAGGGATAGGCAGTGCATAATCTGGGAGTTCACTGACCCCATCCTCTGCCAAAATTATGCCACTTGGAAAAATGAACCTTTAGGATACAAGTCTCAGAAAGATGCAGTGATAAAGAACATGGAAAGCAGCAATTTTGTTTGTACCTTAATGCTCTGTGGGTATTAAACATGGAGTTTGCCATTTTTTAAGTGGAGAATTTTCCAAATTTTGTACCGATTGTAGTTATTGGAGGCTGCAGTCCATCCTTGTGAGCCAGGAACAGTGTATGAAATGTAGCATTATACCTGGAATATTCTGCTTAATGCAGATCCTCCTCTTTCACCCAGACCTGAGGTATCACCCTGTCTCACCTGGCTGCCCTGAGCTGCTGCAGCTCAGTCTCCCAGGGAGGAAGAACATTTCAGGTTAGTAGGTCTGGTTTAAATCATCCCTGCAGAAGAGCATGGAATACATGTATTCCTGAACTCTGATTTAAGGTATTTCTTAGAAATGAAAATCCTTTCATGTCAGTGCCATTGTTCTTCAGCTCAGGGTGGTATTATTAAGGCTTTTGTAGACACAGGAACTTTTTACATTCCTTAGAATTTTGTTTGTTGTTTCATATGCAACATGGAATTAAAGCAGCAAGCTTGAAATAAAGAGGAACTAGTTCACCCTTTCCCCCATTCTTTTCATAACGAGAGGGCTTCTTAGCAAAACCAAATTAAGGTATTTTGCAGGTTTTATATTTATTTTCTACTATACTGGTATTTTTATGGACACCTGGAAAGAAAATGTTGAGTTTTATATTCAGTTTAAAGTTCTTTGTATTCCTAGGCTTTTTATAGAGCAAATAAAATACAAATAACAGTTTGCTTGGTTTAAGTTTGCACTAGCACATAAAATTCAAGTTTCCTTTTTCTTATATAACTAATCTCAGAAACTTAGCTTTTCCTGGAGTTTGGAAATGGCAAAGATAAATGTTCTCCTGTGGAAACATACCTGCAGTTGTGTTTTTGCTGGAGAATAATGGACAGAGGAAGAAGAAATACCACATTTGATGGCAGCTGTATAGAAGCCTTGGACTGTGTCTGAAGAGGAACATGACTTTTTACTTTTCTGTGGCTGCACTAATAAAATGTCTCTTGAACCTCTTTATTCAAATGTACTTTTGATATGCAGATACCATACTGGGGTGATGGGCAACATCATCTTGCCATTACCAAGCTTGATGCCAAACTCAACACCCACCTCAGCATAAAGCTGTGCCACCAAACTCCAGCTGGTGTAGAAATTGCAGTGAATTCTCTCTCCCCTGTGTAAAAGCTGCAGACAGGTGCAGTGTGTCCAACAGCTACAGAGTAGCACAGGACCCCTGCACTTTGTAAAGAAGGGGAGGCACTGGAAGGGCTTGGAAGACTTTAGCCATGGAAAAAAATTTCAGACAGGTAAAGGAACATGAGTACAATGCACGTGCATGATCTGGATGGAGAACTGATGCCCTGCAGCAGTCCCTGAAATCAAAGGTCTGGCTGTCCCTGTGTGTGAGAGAAGACAGCAGAATGGCACTGGGCTATGAATAACATGGAGTGAGACAAAAGGGCCCATGAACTTCACTGACCTGTCTGGCATGGCAATACTTTCAAAGAGAAGGTTGACTAGAGTGGGCCTGTATGTTGTTCCCACCTGGGAATATGGATTCCACGATGTGGATGCGTTATAGCTTATTTATAATGAAAATATAAAACTCTGCTGCTCTGGACCCAGGAGGAATTAAATGTAAAAACAGACTTTTTATTTTATGTTGGGGTTTTTTTCCCTCCAGCTCTAGGCACCTTCCCAACAGTCAGCACTTAGCTCCAGAGCACTCTTGCAGCTTTCTGTGGCAGGAGCAAGTTTCACTGAAAGTGAGTCCCTCTCTCCTTTGCTGAGGGTTTATGGGTTTATGTGCACTCTTTATTACTAGCACAGACTGGGCTACCCCGACAGGGAGGCTTGAACCCATGTGACACATCAGTTAAGCGGTAAATGGCTGTGGAGACTCAATTCTGTTGGCAATCAGGAGTAATGTCACATTTGAGTAGATGATTTTGAAGAAACAGGGCTGTGACTTCGTTTGGGAAAAGGCTGGCACTCTTCCCTCTGCTTTCCCACCCTGCTTTGCATCGTGCCCCAGCCAGCTGGTCCTTGTACCTGTGTGGGCCCCAGTGCTCCAGGAGAGCGGTGACAAGATGTCACCGCCTTGCCAAATGCTGGTGAGCAGCCATGTTTGCATCTTGGCGCTCTCGTTCTGCAGGAGTTGGCACAACCACTAGAGTTAATTTAAACCTTTTGCCAGGTTTCTTTCTCATACATCTCGCTGGGCCTGTGCTAAAGACCTCCTAGCCGTGGGGGAGGAAAGAGAAGAAATTTTGAGGTTTGAATATTAAGGACAAGATTTTAGGCCACTGCTCCAAAAAGAGGCTAAGCAAGGCTGTGAGGTTCCTGCAGTGGCAAGTCAAAGCCCCAAAGGTGGCTTGGTAAAGGTCAAGGAATGGACTCTACATCTCCTGTCAAGGGATGAATACGAATTTTGACTTAGAATATCTGCACACCCTCATGCTGCTGATGGAGAAGACCATGCTGTGGTGGGCAGTGCTGTCTCTGAGACACATCTCAGGCTCCTTCACTGACAGTTCTGTCTCCATCCCAATATCTCTGTGAGGAGGGAAGTGAAAGAGGAAGAGGTTGAGAAGAGGAGAGGCTCTTTGGGAAACTCCTTAAGGCTTTGCTGAAGTATGTGAAACAGGAGAGCCATTTGGTCATCAAAAGCTGACAGGCAAAGGGCTCCATTTCTCTCCAGAGCCTGTAGAAAAAGGCCCAGAGTAGCAAAGAATGGCTCTGCTAAAACCAGCACTCTCAAAAGTCAGGGGGTTCCAGGAGCAGCCTGCAGCCACCATGAAGAGGAAAACTTGGCTGGAGAGGAGACACCACCAGAGCTGCTGTTCTGCTCCTCTGAATTCTGTGAGCATGT